CACTATTTTTTGTCACCAAAACACTACCTATTTGTTGACAGAACCATTTAAGATCAAGCACAATTAATCAAACCAAATATAACATCAATTAATCAAAAATCTACACAAAATACATATCATTGAATGCTTAATTTTTTCATATCTAGAGAAAATATAACAATAATATCCAAATGTTTAAGTCCCAAAAACAGAATACACCACTTAAAAACAGAATACACCAATGCTATCCCCAAAAAATAATAGAAAATGATATCCAAATAGCATACAACCATGTCTAAAGAGTATCTAAAAGCTTGAGTTGCCATATTCAAACACAAAATAACTAGAAAATAACATTTTTGCTACTAACACTTAAAGTCACAGCAATCTTGAAATTTTCATATACAAATGCTTGACATTGCTGCCACCAGTAGCATCATTACTTTAAGATGCATCTGGAAAGGTTGGCACTCCTTGTTCACCTTAAAATGCAAACAAGATACATTTTGGCACAATTGTATGAACGGTTTTCAGTTTCTTATTTTGAGCCGTCAATGTTTATTTATTTTATTTAATTTTTGGTGGGAGCCATCAATGTAAAATTAATTTTATAAATTGCAGCATTTTGACAGTTTTGAGGAAAAAATATTATGTAATCTGAATTGTATTAGAGTATGATAATTGAGGTCTTTTTTATTTAATGATCATTGTTTTATTTTATAATTTAATATAATTTAATCTAACTTTTTTTTTAGACCATATTTTATATTACTATGATTGAATAACTACTTTTCAAAGAAAAAATTCAAATTTTTTAATCCATTTTCTTTTATTAAGACTTGATTGTAAAAATAAATATAAGAGAAAAATTCTTTTAAACTAGATATATCAAAAATCTTTTATTATCATTTTAAAAGTTATTTTTTCAAATTATTTTCTATACTTAATTACATATGTTAACATGTGGATTAAAATGTGATTTGATGAGATCAGACAGTAAATTCAATAAATGACACTTGTTTTAAATCCATGCGAGTTCTATTTTTCTGTTTGGGTAATAAGACTTCTATCTCTAGCTTTAGGATATATGTTGCTTTTCAAATTTCAGTCCCCCAATAACCACAGATCCAATCTAATATCTCAACTTTCATCTTCCATACCATTTCCATTCAAAAGCTTCAAGACAAAACAGAACATGTCTAGAGAGAAAGAGGGGCTTGGCTTTGGTTGATTCTTCTTTTCTCTCCTATCCATAAAAGGGTTTTCTTTGATAACAACATCAGAGTCCGAATTGTGTTTAGAGTATTCAAACTTTGTGCTGTCCACAAATGAAAAAAGAGAATGTTCAAAGCTAAATATAATGGGAAGGTCCAACCAAATCCCCCACCAAAAAGACTCCAAAGGCATACCAGCAGCCCTCTACGACAAGTCGACACACAACGCACCCAGTCTTTTATTCTCCTTGAAGAAACACTTCCAAATGCTACCTTCCACATCTCTTCAGATTTTGCTCCTGACCATTTTCTTCCCTGGATGTACTTTCACCCATTCACATGGCCATATATCTCTGCCTTGTTACACATTGCAGTTCAGCTGCCTTTGTTTTCCAACTTTTAGTCATACAGAATCAAATAGCCAAAATGAATGAATTAAAATAATCATCTTAAGTCCTAGCTATGTCCTATATATATGTGCATATGCGTATGAGGTCTCATTAAAGAGTGCTTGAATCAATCCCATTGAGGTTCCTCTTCATCTTCCAATGAGTGAAGATAGACAAATTGATCCAGCAATCGTTCATCCATCCATTGCTCTTTTGCAAGAAAGGTTCAAACAGTTGGAGAGAGCTAAGGAGATAAGGCAGGAGAAAGAGCTCTTACGGATGTTGCCTGAATCAAGGCAGATCAATGCAGCTATGCCTTACGTGCCATGCAGATCACTTTTCCACCCTATACTCATACTTCAGTCAAAGCTGCCTCTTCAGTGTACACTCAAAATAAAAGCCAGTTTGCAAAGCAGGAATACCCAGGTTCAGGCAATTCAGACTCCAATATTAGAGAATTTATGGTCCGGAGACACTGTCATATGCACAACTGACCATAATGATATTTCAGATGTTGATGCTACATCTGTGAACAAGTTTAACAATGTTAGTCTATCTAGTGGTCCTGTGGTTTCCTTCTGTTTCTTCTTCATGGTGAAGTAAGAATATGGGAAAGGAAAAAAAAAAGGAGCTAAAGAAAAAGAAAACAGAATATGCAATGTAGCTAATTTCCATTAGCTTATGTATCTTCAGCAACTACATAGCGATCAGAAAGACAATTCTCTTCTCTCTTTTGAAATGCATTCTTAGCATAGGTAATGTTATCCAATTTGTCACCATTCCCTTTCCTCTTCATGATTTTGGGAATCAATTGAGTTACTTCTGTGGTTTCCTTCCTTTTCTTCTACACGGGGCAATAAGAATACGAGAAGGAAAAGGAGCTAAAGAAAAAGAAAACAGAATATGCAATGTAGCTAATGGCGATTATCTTATGTATTTTCAGAACTACATAGTTATCAGAAAGGCAATTCTCTAATCTCTTCTGAAATGCATTCTCATCATAGGTAATGTTATCCAATTTGTCACCATTCCCTTTCCTCTTCGTGATTTTGGGAATCAATCGAGTTACATCTTTGGCCTCTGACATTGCTTCCCCGTTGTTTATCTACTCAGAACGAACAGCACTAACCTTTTGGGCATTTGCAACCAATATCTGCACCAGGGACAACATTTCACTCATATTAATCAGTAATTTAATTGTGTGCTCAAGATTGAGCATTATTAGCCTATACGGTTATCACATGGATAATTTATTTTTCAGAAAAAATGTTTAAACTTGAATGTTACACAAGAACAAAGCATATAAATTATTATTATTAGTTGCTAAGTTTCATTTAGCAAACTGAGCCACCAAATGAAGCATCTCATAGGATGAACAATATAAAAGCAGATTCCTATATGAACAAATGCATGCCCCATAATAGCATTGATTTCAAAAAGTTATATGTGGAAGAGAGTCAAGAGACTGCATGATTGCTAGCTACATTCATTTTCTTAGTTTTTTTACTGAATCCCATTTGGTTCTTTTACCCTACCTTAAGTCTATATATTTGATGCCTTTCCGTCAAATTTTGATGATCAGATCCATCTTCGTCATGCTTATCATCATCATCTTGATTATCCCTTTTGAGGACAACTTTGATGCTCTCACCAGCCCCAGCTAGGGATGTATCTAAATACTTCGCATACAAAACCAGATACTGTCTCATACTGATGTTCCTATAGAACAGCGTGGTGAACAAAGAACAATGAAGTAGAAATATGAAATTTAAAATTTAAAGCAACATTTTGATAGTTATTTATAGTGTGAGATTAATTGTGCCTTTACTTCAAAATGAATTGAAAACCACATTGCAATTTTAACTATTTATCTTATCCTCTCCCCTTTTTCTTCTTCATTTGTTTTTTTATTTTTTAAGCAGTGGTCACTTAATCATAAAGCATAATAATCCCACAACAGTCACAATAAACAGAATTTCACTTGCAACTGGGATCAGAAATTTCAGGTTTATAAGTCTGGCTATTTTTAAGATTCCTACAATCAACTACTATGTGGCAAAGAATGAAATTTTACTGAGCCTGTGGAAATGGCAGAAGTATACAATACTAGAAATAATCAAAGGTAGAAATGATACTAATAACTGAGTCTTTAGCTTTAATGTTTAAATTCTCCATTCAGTGCTCTGTACACCCTAACAACGAAAACCAGTAATAGTATAGAATAATATACCTCTGCCATTTTGATATTCAAGTCCTCAGCCAATAAATAGATGCATGGGCATGGACATCATATACTCCCTCTGCTCTCATTACAAAATAGCCAGTTTTCTTCTGGATCTCCTCCTGTTAATAAAATTAGCAGCAATGCATAAAATAAGAATCACTTGAGAATCATTATACATATGTATAAATGAATCACTTAAGAATCAAGTAGAGGTGAACCTTCTAACACTAATTGATATGAGACCTATAGGGTAAAGAAATATCTACATGACGTGAGAAGTGACATGAAATTCCTTGGTCACATGGAAAATACAGAAAAAGTACATGCCAACCTAAATGAGACGAGAAACCGGCGACATAAAGCAGCATCTAGATCAATTGGTCTGTAGAAAATTAGCAGCACATGTATAACACCAATTTGTTTTGGACTTCATCAACAAGTTTTCTTAGCATCCCCTTGCTGAGGAATAATAGAATCCAATATCTAAAGTTATCTATATAGTTAAAAGACTTGCCCCCAATAACAGATTCAGTAACAGAACATTAAGGTCATTAATGAGGTAATTAGGCTTACCTTTGAATCATTTTCATCAAAGATGTCTCCAACAATCTCCTCAACCACACCTTCTAAGGTTACTATCTGCTCCATCAAAAAATGAGTACATAAATATATAAAATCAATCAGTCAATAAAATGAGCACAAATACTGTTAAATAAGCAATCCAAAAGAGAAAGAAAACCCATGCATGGTAAGTTCTAGACTTTTTGTGTTCTCATGCTGCATATTCCACTCGTCTGAACTTTAGAAGAAAAA